TGGGCACTGCCCGACACTATAAAAACAAGCCAACGATGGAAGGTGTTGTGGTCCGCCTCCTGGTGGTTTTCTCCGGTATGGTTTGAGTAGCCTGGGCACCTACTCCACTTGGGAAGGAGACACTAAAAACCATATTTCGCGAGGAGAAATGTGAACAGATGATGGAGGCATGTCTGGATAACTCAGGGTTTTTGAGACGTTCCCCTGGGTGGGTATTCACGGATGAGGGTTGACTTGGGGTGAAGAAAAAGCCGCCATAACTTCGCAGTGGTACTTGCAAATGAAATCTGAGGCATGAGTGCTCTTCCCTTACATTGAATCATCTATGCTGTACTTTTCTTTGATATCGTGTCATAGCTAGATAGCTGCATACGCAATTAAAATCTGATGCAAAAAAATAAGCACTGCCCCTCTTTAGCCCCCAGCTAAATTCGTATTTAGCTTTTAGATTTTTGGCGGGATAAGGGGCTCGGAATGTGACCGGGACTTGACCCTCAAGATAGACTTATAGGAAAATATGATTCACAGATTGCATACTAATCTTAAATTGTGCAAATATTTAGATGAATTCCCGAGTATTTTTTAAAAATCTAGCACTCAGTGGTAACTTAATCTAAATCAATTACATAAACCAACGAGCTCGGAAAATTAACTGTTCAACTCATTTGCCGTGATGGGGGTGGCCTTTGCCACCAGTATATGACACAAGTTCGGTACAGGGGTCATTTCAATGATCATAAGATGGCTAAATACCAGCGGGACCAACCCTTCTATTGATGATTGTGGTAGCTGCTTGTGTGGTATAGGGTGCAGAGTCTCAGCCAAGACGCCAATGGCGTGAAGACAATGATGAGGGGCGCATCTTCACCTGTGGCCTCTGTGAACAGCCAGAGCACGCGCTTTGACCACTATCTCTCTGTCCCTGCCGCCCGAGTCTGTGATGCCAGCGGACCACAGCTAGTGGCCTTACAATTGGCAAATCTAAAATAGAGGGAAATAATTCTGAAATATATCGCTGTCAGCGAATTGTATCCGCTCGCCGCAAGTCAAGATTGGCTTTAGGAATGCGTCGCTCGGTGATAATTTATTATTTTTCGGGCCGGGCTGTGGTAATAGTCGCCGCGTCATTAAATTTAGTACAGGATGCTTTGGGATCATTCTCGCCTCTTGCCCCTCACAAGATGGACGGGAATTGGATCAAACGACACCTTCAATTCTTCACATAATCCTCAGCCCGACATCAATCCCCCCAATTACAATGACTCCATACACTTCATGACACCTCCGTTCCCGTTTGCTCTAAATATCTACTTATACTCCTTGCTCCGTATTTCCCTTGCCTGTGCGCCGTGTTTTTGGTGGATAGGCAATCGAAAAGTGGGTGGTAAGTTGTCTTTTATCTATAATAATAATATTCAGGAGGGAGCAGGAAGTGAGTTGTTGGAGTGTCAAATGGTGGCCAGATGTTCGGCTTCTACACTCGTTTGCTCACCCTTAAAATCTTTCTTGTGCGGGCCCTTGTGCAAAGGAGTAGCAAAATTCCGCCCGATCGATAATGAATCGAGAAGCCTCTCAAGCTCACTCGCGGAAAATGAATAAATCTGGGCTCTGGGTCGAGATTATCATTCTAGGCTCATGGTGGACACTGCGGACAGGAGTTGAGTCTTCATTCTCTATCACAAGAATTGCGGGCCACAAGGGTGTTGCATCTGTGGGGCAAATCATGTGATATGACACAATCAACTGAGTCTCCAGCGCCGACGTGCATGGCAACTTCGATAAATCTCTGACGGAGCTCGTCGTTCCCGAGTACAAGTGATATGTGAGCAAGGCAAGAGCTCATAGCTAGGTTCGGCCACTCGCGCCATCCCCCTCCCCAAATAGCCTAGCACGGATCTAGTGAGGAGGCTAACTTCCAGAACTTCTAGGTTCCATTGGAATGGTCCTTGACCACCCGCGCAAAATGGGCCCTTCCAAAACCAGACCAGCTCAACTCCAAAGTTGTCCTGCGACCTCATAGATCTTGTTGGCGTGCAGTCAAAAAAGCAGTCACCCTCTCCTCGGTTCGAGCCAAGACGGACTGCGCCTATCTGCTCGAGAAAAGAGGGCCTACGTGCCGGATTCAGCAAGAACTCTCACCAGCTTCGGCCTCAGCGAAATCTCTTTCTCCGATGTAATGCCTCCTAAACCACCAGAGATCGAAGTTCACAAACCTTTCCTGCCGCACTATCTGACTTTCCCCACTACACCTCCAAAGAGCCGTGGTCGACCACCCGTATCCTCGACGAACTCTTCTTTCTTAGATGGCGTCGCAAGTGGAAACTACGGCGAGACTGAGGACCCCGCAAATTATGCTTCTCTCCCACTGCCCAAGGGACAACTCGTAACCCTAGCCATCATGTCCTTGGCAGAACAGACGGCATTTAATTCCTTCTCACCATATCTTCCGGAAATGATTGCAGGCTTTCCAGGAATCGATCAGTGCCAGAGTGGGCTATACGTCGGCATCGTTGCTTCGTGCTTTGCACTAGCACAGTGTGCGACAAACTTCTTCTGGGGATGGCTATCGGACCGAGTTGGTCGCAAACCCGTCATCTTGTTAGGAACCTTACTATCAGCGCTTTGCTTTGTCGTATTTGGCTTCTGCCAAACCTTGTGGCAAGCCATTCTCGTGCAAGTTATGATGGGTTTAGTCAATGGAAACCAAGGTGTCATTAGCACCTGTCTAGGCGAAATCACTAATAAGAATAATCAGAGTCGAGCTTTCACCTACCTGCCCGTCGTTTATGGAATTGGTGGCATCACAGGTCCTGCACTTGGTGGATTGATGGTATTATATGAAAATCCCTTCCGCCCAGGCCAGCGTAGCGTGTATCCATATCTCCTTCCGAACATCTTCTCGGCGTTTATTTTGGGCATCGATATGGTCATCATTTGTCTCTTTTTAAGGGAGACCCTCGACGATAGGTCTCGAATCGCTCTGCCATTCAAAGAAAGAGCGACAAAAAGTCTCAGCTGGCTTCGGGTTCGCAAAAACCGCATGCAGAGCTCATTGGATCCAGCTCATAGCTATTCAAGTGCTGCCAGGTATCAAGAAGACCTGAGCGAAGATGTGGATAATAGCTCAATTGATAGGGAAAATTTTAGCAGGAACAATCATCCGACTCTGAAGCTTATTCACTCCCATCACGCAGAGCTGACAAAATTTCAAATCAAGAAGCAATTTTTGAACCGAGATACCTTGTTCCTCCTCGCCTCTTACTTTGGATTTCAGCTTTCGAATGTCTCCTACAATTCGCTCTACCCCATCTTTGCCTCGAGTCTAGAACCGGACGGCCGAAATCTCTCGGTAAAAGAGATCGGACTTTCCATTGCCTTTTCTGGTCTAATAGCCATAGTCTTTCAAATTGGAATTTTTGGAAAGCTCAAGGCTCGGCTAGGTAACAAAAACACGTTTCGGGCTGGGCTGCTCCTCTTGTCTACCGCCATGATGTTGACGCCCTGGGTAGGTTATCGTAACTCCTCACCGCCAATCCACTGGGGGACGGGCGCCACATGGCTTTGGATTGAATTAGGCCTTGTGCTTTTTCTAAAGACATTTGCGGCTGTGGGTGGGCTGTCAAGTGCGCTACTGCTCGTAAGTTTTCGCATGCTTCGCCCTCGCTACAATCTACCGCTAACTGGAATAGATCACTAATAGTCCGCCCGATAATTCCCTACTCGGTACCCTCAACGGTCTTGCCCAAACCCTTTCGTCCGCGGGACGCGCGCTAGGGCCGCTTCTTTCGGGGGGTCTCTTTTCGTTAGCGACAAGCCGGCGACAACATGGTGGTGAGGTGATAGCATGGAGTGTATTAGGCACCCTAGCCCTGCTTAGTTTCCTCGCGAGCAGTGGCATCCATGGGTCCCGCCTTGAGAGTGACGATGGGCCTGGCGAGGGGGCCGACCCGCTGCTCAACACCACTGATAGCGACCATGACGAATATCCCACGAACCGTTGATTGCTCGCGGCCCCTGGTTAAGTTAGGATGGAGAAAGGGTAGTTTCTAGCGTCTGCAGGGCCCCGCCGCTCTTCATTTTTAGCAATGCAAAGCGCCGATCATTCCCTTCTTTTGACCTAATTCGTGACCCCAGTACTAGCGCAAGGGGGCGCTAAGCTTGACACATCCGATTCTGCCCGGACGATGGGATAACGGCTGATGCAGTTTATGCAGTCACAAATCCGTCGGCCGTTATATCAGTACACTCCTTACTCTTATCCGCCTTCTCCCGGACACAACAGAATTACGGTACTTCAGCAGTTCGGCTTAAGCTTATCCTTAAAGATCCCGCTGCTAATCCATCCTAGGGGCTAGCGTTAGCTCTGTTTCGTCTACGAGCCGGCTCTTGCTCGACTCACCGTGATCCGGATGCGTATCGCGGGCTAAACAGGCGCGTAGAGGGATGAGTCGGGTCAAGTTCATACCTAGCCACATGTGATGTTGCAAAGCAGTACTGCTCGGCAAAAATTAACGCGCTCATTGGACTATAAGAGAGAGTGCTGAATATGGTCATCAGCGATATTTGAAAATCATATAAACTAATTATGGATATCTTCTTTTTGCGAATAATCTAAGCCCCTAAAGTTTAAGGGATGGCTATCTCTCATGAGGGTGCCATGATATTTATCAAGTAGATACAAATTTCTGTACAGGAGTGATGCTCTCTCATAATCTAAATCTAGCGCTCTAAGCGGTGCAGCCCGTGACCTCCCACACCTACACTCGTCTTTCGGCGTTATTCACGAGATACATGATTAAACTGATTGCTTGCAGTCTATTTTTGGCATTGTAATTTCTCTTACTCGAACCTTAGGAGTAAATGGTTGTAATGATTGATTCAGTTTAATGGGTAGATCAGTCGCTTACCGATGCTTAAATTCCCCTATGGCATTGGTAATCTTTGATAGGCTTTGTAGTGTTCAGGATATGATGTAGAATGATATCTCGACCATTGACTAATCATAATTTTGAAGATCGTCTTCTAGATTTCTCTGTAGATCATTAGATAATCAGTGGTTGAATCATGTCACGCCATGACTAACCTTCTAGTTCTTTTCTTTTCAATTCGAATCTTTCTTTTGGCGCACCCTCCACAAATCTTTCTGCTAACGCATCAACAGAATCCATTACTGCTACGAGGCGCCCTTCTCTTAATGGCCGGTTAATCAAGCGTTTGGCCTCCATCAAACTACGACCATCACTAGCCTCCAGCACCGAGCTGAGATATGTGAGAATTTCATTTTGGAAGTCTTCGACGGGAAAGATGCGATTTACTAGGCCGGCAGCTTTAAGCTCGCGAGCATCGAGTCGTTGTCCGAACATCAGAAATTCGCTGGCACGATGCACGCCCATGCTCTGCGCAAAAATCGGAGCACTTCCTAATTCGGGTACCAAGCCTAGGGCCGAAAAGGGTACCTGTAAATAACAGTCGGCTGAGGCTAGCACAATATCGGCGACTCCGGTGAACCAGGCCGCACCACCCCCAACGCCCGGCCCGTTCAGGGCGAGCACGAAAACTTTGCGGTGATCGATGATGGAGCGGAGCATTTCAATATCTATAGACAAGCGACGTGAGTCCTAGGTTTGAAGAGCAAGGAGTGTTCACGCACGAGCTGCGAACAGTGACATGTAAGCTATCTTCTTTCTAGCACTCTGAGCTTGTTCTTGTTGCTGCTCGCCTATACCACCATTCCCATTGACACTGGGATTCATGTTGATGGTGCGCATGTCGGCACCTGCTGAGAAGAAGCGTCCCTCGCCGGTGAGGACGGTAATGATTGTGTCAGGATGCTCGTTGAGGATGCGCAGGGCTGAGATAGTCTCCGTCATTAGGTCTCCACCGAAGGAGTTCAAGCTCTTGGGACGATTGAGCTAGTTTCTGTTAGCATGTCTAAAATCGTGCTACCAACTCAATATCTCACCCTGATTGTGCCAATCTGACCTCTTATTTCAAGTATTATATCTTTATAATCATTTCCAGTCATTTTCACGACGGGCTGCGATACTTGGATTTTCGGGTGACAGGCGCTGTAAAATTGTGATGTATGTGGGGGTTCCTGAATGGCTCGTAGTCCTGCGTTGGCTTATCAAAGGCGTGTTAGCGGTTCACCTCAAGCAGCTTCTTCATCAATAGCCTCGTCTCGTCGTAATCGCATACAATCTAGAATCACGTAATGCATTTAAACTTCTGTCGAGGACCCTAGGCACATTTCCTTCAGCCGCTAGCCCCGGTCAAACTTTAATCCATTCATGGCATGATGTCACATCACCTGGTACCTCAGGCTGTCAAGCCAATGAGAGCAGCGAAATGAGAAAGCCAGTTTCGAATTACGGTGATCATGTTTGAGTTGATTTGGTCCATGGAGAGATGATTGTGTCTATTATTATCTAGCAGGCTGGACTACTCTCTGACCCATTGTCCTGCGGCACGATACAGGGGAGGTTAGGAAGGAAGAGGAAAGCTCTTTGGTCTACTCAGGTCTGCTACGTCCGGCTGGTCGGCCTTTTCAAACGCTACAAAAGGAAAGCTATAACTTCGGATGTCTTGTCGGGAGGCCGAAAACTAAACATCTATCAATGGTGTCCCCTACAAGCCTCCAGCTCTCACTGTGAAGTCTGCAGAGCCGAGATTCATTGACACTTTCGTCCTCACTTCGATGAGGATTTCCGATCGCTTTCGTCGTCTCTAACGTCTTCATTCCTCAGCACTTTTAGTGTCATAGCTAGTTAGGCTGCATACACTTAATGATTTAAAAAAAAAATTCCTCAGCACAACCCCTTATCACCACTTTCATGAAGCTAACCACGTTCTGATCAGATTGCGGGGTCGAAGTCCTCGTCATCACCCACCCTTAATCCTCCAGGATAGGAGGGTATGACTGAATACCTGTGCGCGGTGTCCTCTATGAACCCAAGAGTGAAATATTCTCTCAGAGCCAAGTTCAGTCAAATTTCGCAATATCAAAGAAGTTGGCTCACGAGGCAATGATTCACAATACACTACCACATCGATTTTTCGCTCACAACGAGATGAACTCCTGCCTAAGTCTCATCAAGTCTACAAATACGACCCAGTAAATTCTCATCCCAATGACCACATATCTCGTCGACTTTCTCTGGCCTCAGCTGGTCACCAAATACATGCCCACGCCGATATTTATACCCGCCGGAGGAAGCAAAACGTGGCGCATAAATCTAGGAGACAGTTCTTTGGGATGGACGTGAGAGGGATCAGGACAAGTTGACAAGATGACGCGAAGGAAGGATATAACCTCGAAGGGCTTGAGATTCCGAATTTTGGCAAGGAGTTTTACGAATTGAGCTTTGTGCGCGACAAGACTTCGCTTGCGACAGCGCAGTTGACACTATGAAAGCAAGCCGACGTTGGAAGGTGTTGTGGTCTGCCCCCTGGTGGTGTTCTCCGGTATAGTTTGAGTAGCCTGGGCACCTATTCCACTTGGGAAGGAGACGCCTCAGACCGCATTTCGCGCGGAGAAAAGTTGAAAGATGATGGAGGCATGTCTGGATAACAGGGTTTTTGAGACGTTCCCCTGGGTGGGTATTCACGGATGAGGGTTGACTTGGAGTTAAGAAAAAGCTACCATAACTTCGCAGTGGTACTTGCAAATGAAATCTGAGGTATGAGTGCTCCTCTTGTAAATTGAGTCATCTTTTCTGTACTTTTCTTTGATATTGTGTCATAGCTAGATAGCTGCATACGCAATTAGAATCTGATGCAAAAAAGCTTCGCAGTGATACCTGCCAATGAAATCCGAGGCATGAGCGCTCCATGTTTAAATTGAGTCATTAATTGTTTATTTTTTCCCTGAGATTGTATCATGGCTAGATAGCTGCGCACGCAATTATATCTGATGCAAAAAAATCATAGAGGCTAAGCCGTCCGATAAGTTTCCGAAGCGTACCCAGCACCTGATACGGAGATGGTGGATTGGATCTAGTCGGCCAACTAACGTAACAAAGAAGGGAGATATAGATGATTATACCCGCCTCATACGGTCCCGTTGTCTAGGCCTCGCCTGGCTGGGCCTGCAGATTTTTCGAGACTTTTTCCCACACACACAGTTTCCATCGCCACCATTTTTAAAAAATTGGGTACAAGGTTCTGTGGAATATCTGGCAAATTTATACGGTTAAACACTGAGCCGGATGGCTATCCGTTACGGGCAATATACCAATGATCTTTTGAGTGACAAAAAAAGAAAGGAGCACTGGACACGGAATGGTTTGGGTCAGGGGGTGCCTAGAGTGCAAGAGAGTGTGTGTTGGAAATTCCGACTCCCGAGTTAAGAAGCCACTTGCCATCTGTTTCGTCAGGGCTCCCGACAAGATCAACACTCTCTACAAATGTCTCGGATGCGCTGATCACATCTACGCTTGCATCCATCTTTGAATATTTGTATGTTGCAGTGTACATTATCTGTTGTGTTATTCATGTAACTTACCATGGTAAATGCTTTAGGTCACGTCATGGTAGGTGCACGTGACTGTCGAACTAAACCGTGGGGCGTTTGGTGTTTGAGGCATGTGTGAGTATCATGGACCCAACTAGGACTCGATGGAATAGAGATAATGGATCAGACAGAGACTGACGGACTGAGGGGGAACGAGATGGTTATTCCCCGTACGAGGGAAATGATATCACCGGGGAATGTTCTAGCACTAGGCTGTGAACGACATATGAGGTGGTCTCAACCAAGTTTCCTTTACATCACAATATAGATACAAATCTTACTTATCACGAGAAAACACGCGATAGCGATTAACGAGACCTACTATGAACACAACTTTCCCAAGAGTATCCATCGTCCTGCTCCTATCCAGCCTAGTTAATATTATCTTACGGCGGAAGATGAGAAGTGACTGATCCGTACAATGTATGAGAAGCACGCGAGACTAGTTGTAGTTTATGTCATAAGTGTATATAATTGTCCTGATTTTGAGTTGGAATTCATTAAGCTGATTTGGCGCCGTATGGGCCCATGCAGTTGATTATAAACCCATCTATATATTTACGGGGGCGGAAACCTCTTGGTGAAAGGCTCACCAGCTTTCTGATTTTTCCCTTGAAATCTGCAATTTATCCTTCGGGAAGCGTGATTACGCTGTGGTGCCGTCTTTGTGTGGCTATCACGTCCCTTGTATCGAGCCCAATCTCGTGCCGGTCCTCTCTCGTTCCCTACGCAGCTTTTCGACTGCATTTGTATTATGCTTGGCATTCGATTTGGGAGTGTGAATTTGCGCTGGAACGGCTGTGGATCCTAAACGTAGCAGGCTACGTTATGTAACATAGACTACTAAATACGGTTGTCCTATAATTAGTAAGCTACGCACAAAGTGTAGATTTCAGAGTTGGGAGTTGGGAGGAGACTTCGACAAATTTATTAGAACTCAAGCTTAACTATTGCATTCTGCGGAACTAGCTGTTGTAGAGCCACGAGTTATATTTGTCACCATTCTGTTTCAATTGTGATCTATCGAAACCCACAAGGTTACTATGATAATTATTATCTCACAGATTGGGCTAAGCTCGTGTCTTATACCCTAGCTAGTTCTGTTATGATATAAGAGCTTGAGGTAGACGAAGCTAGGGCCTCGCGCGTGGCTCAAGGCCACAGCACATGTCACTAGTGCCCTGGCCAGGCGAGCGAACATCTATATATTTATTTTAAGTCCTAGGCCGTAGCTTTCCATCTATCTAGATGCAGGACCGGTGGAGCCGGCCGAGATTTAACCCGCAGGCTCGCCCTACTCGTTCACCCCCATTTTAGAGCTAATAAATCATGAGCTCGTCCAACGAATAACGTGGTGAAGAAAAAGAAAAGAAATAACCAATGGTTTTGAGTCAGCAATCCTCATCCTGAGCTCTCCTCCGCCAGCGTATTTGCCCTTGCATTCAGCCCAGAACTAGGATGCCTCCAGCCTACTGAAGCCGCCTGTAACCCCTGCAAAGAATTTAAAATTCTCTAAGCCTTTATGTCCGAGGAGTTGCCTAGTAAAAGCATCTGAGGTCATGTCTCTTCTAAGTTTACGCGTCAGAATATCGTATCTCCGACAGCGTGTGAAGCGGGTGGGCGTCTTTTCCAGCCCACAGCTACAAACCAGATTTGCGTCTTCGTGCTTGAAGCGACGGTCATACGCCGCAGAATCCCCATGCCCTGTTCTGCGATCATGTATATAGTTTCATAGATGTAGCCAAAATAAATGGACACAGGTTTGGTCTTCTACTTTCTATCTAGATACCCGAGCTTCCAGGCACCGAAACCATGCATAGTCCGTGCGCCTAGCGCCACGCTGACAGATAAAGTCCGGGCATGAACTAACAACACCATGAGTAAGCGTGAGCGGGATACGGTAGAGAGGGAGGCACATGGGAACAAAAATAGTGGTAGCCAGTGGCAAAGATGGTGCGAGCATAAACTTGGGATCGAGCGCCAGCACATGAATGGTACCGAGCAGGAATGAGTAGTATGTACAAATAGAGCACGAGGCAGTAGTTTAAAAGGGAGGGGGGGAAAAGCGACAAGTCTACATAGCTTTCTATCGCGCATATAATATCGCCGAGAGTGAAGCACAGGATAGTCGTAAACCACCAGTCTTATCTACATACCGTTTCACTGGTATAACCTATCATCCGTGACTCCTACGAAATTTTGCTAGCCAAGAACCTCATACCTGCAGCATAGTATCGTATGAGTCTACTCACTGTCACCCCCAAAATATATCATCATCCACCCCTCATCACTCTGCTATATGACTTCCGCATACCTCATAACCCAAAATCTTCGCTTGTAGAAAGAACACGTAGGCAGCATTCAGCGCACCAAAGTGTGCTCCCAATTGAGCAGTTATGCCATTTGTCCTATATTAACAAGCCATCGCTCACACTGCACACAGTACTTCTTGTAATGCCGTTATGTAGGATTCGATCTCTTTGGGAGGGAAATATTGATGTGGCGGAGTATTTTGAAACATTGCCTCTTTTTAGATCATTTAATGTGTATGCAGATATTTGCCTATGACCCATGACCGGTGCTGTGCATACATGTTGAATGACTCTTTTGACGTTAGTGTGACTCTGTCTCTGGATTTCATTCGCAAATACCACTACTATGAGGTGTGCCTGCTTACACAAACAGTCGAACCTCCTCCGTAAGTAGCCACCCAAGGGAATTCAAAACCTTTGGTTATGTAAGCATACCAGCGCCAGCGAGAAATGTGGTTGTGTTTTGCTGGATTTGAACCAGCAATCTCCTGTCTTGAGTGGAGCATGTGTCCCAGCCAATCAGACTCTACTCGGCAGACCGGCCAAGACGATGTACCACCGCACCATGCAACCATGACAGTATTTAGAGTGTGGCCTGCCCTCACGCAACCGAAGCTCTAACACGTACAAAGCTCAATTTGTAAATGCTCCTTGCCATGATTTAAAAATTTACGCCCATCGAGCTTGTAGTCATCCTCTGTATTATCTCGCGGGTTTGTCATTATGCCTCTCACGTCCATCCCTGCGGCCTGCTTGTTACCGCCATTATGCCTTGGACCAATACTGAGTCGCCGTGTCTCGTCGGTTCAACCAAGTCAGGAGCATCTCCAGTAACATAGTCAATGCGCCGCGATGGTGACAATGTTGTGATAGCAACAGGTACTAATCAACATAGTAATCAGTTGCTACTAAGGAATGGGAAAGATCCTGGAATAAACTAACAGCTAAGCAGATGCCAAGATGTGGATGGCAGCCAACACTTTCATAGACGAAAAGATCGAAGAGACAAGAATGAACTACAGAGGACCACCCTTTAGTATCCACAAAAACCTTGAAAGGGCCCAAAGTAGCATAGCCATACAGTTAAGAAGTGAGCATATGGGCCTCAACTCTTATTTGCACAGAAGTCATGTTCCCGGAGTAGACAGCCCATCATGCCAATGTGGATATCCGTCCCAGAATGTCAAGCCCATGATCAAGGCCTGAGCAAAGTTGAGGGGCTTTTAACCACAAAAGTTTCCTCCCATGTAAACATTAGAGTACGTAGACACCCGCATGGGCTTGAGGCGTCGAATCGGGCTAAATCAAAATCAGTTGCTATTTTATACTACAAACAATCATCCCCTTGATTGAAGTAGCCACTCTTGAGTACTCGGGGGTGGTCTAGGCCTAGAATTGTTGCGCAGCTATTTGTCTAGTAATTTTTCTGGTCTCTAGATTAATCCAATTACCATAGGTTTTACCTTGTGCTCCGACTCCGACCCGTTCCGACCCGTGTCCTCTGAACAGAGCCGCCGATGCTGACTGCCTCCCACATTTGTGCGTGAGGCTTTGTTTCCTCTGTCAGGTGAATATATCGGCGTGGGCGTGTATTCGGTGACTAGCTGAGGCTAGAGAAAGTCGAGGAGAGGTGTGGTCATGGGAATGAGAATAGATTGCATCGTACTTGTAAACTTGATGAGTTTTGGTGTAGATCGGTCACATTGGGTTGCAGAGTTTGATTCCGTAGAGAGTCTTGAATCGTTGGCTCTGGGGCCAACTCCTTTGGAGTTGCAAAATTTGACTGAACTTGGCCCTGGGAGAATATATGACGGCCAGGTTGATAGAGGCCCGGCATGCAGGTGTTCAGCCTTTGCCCTCCACATACCTGAGTTGTGCTACGCTCTAGCCAATAACACATACCCTGCCTCTCGACCATCGTGTCAGATATAACTCGCATCTCTCAGTAATCCTCCCATACGCTAACTTTGGCACTCTGCATCAAGGCACGGTATTATGTTGATTTTTGTACCATACTTGTCACTAAACTTTCTACATTTATTCTTGTTAACTTTAAATTTGATTCCTTTAGACAACGAGGGCTAAAACTATCATGATCTAGAAATAAAAGAGAATCCTGCACTGGAGAGGAAAATAATCCCGGACGACTTGGTATTTCATTAATTTAGGTTCATGCCAAGCCTTTAAATTATGGATGCTTTTTGCCCAGCTGTTCAGATTCTACTGCTGTCAATCCATTTAGTTCCTCTACCTCCTGAAGTCGCAGGAAATACGGGTGGGCTCCATCCTTCAGGGCGTAGGCCGCTAGGATGGCACCAAAATTCTCTGCTCGAAATTAAAAGACTCCTTCAACATCCAGATGGCTTTGGCTTATGCTCGAATTCGGCTATGATCCTGCCTATGATAATAGCAAGGTCTAGCATTCATACCATCTCTCATGATATGTCCTAGTCTACTTTCTTACATTTCACTTCGAACCGGAGCTTTAACATCACAACCTACGCCCCAAATAACTTGACACTCGAGTAGGGATGCATAATCAAGAACTGATTGGGTGAAGTGTGGTGGGCTCTTTTTCAACAGGAATTAACCATCATGCCATGTATATAAGGAAGGCTATTCCCACATCATTCCATCTTCAGACTACAAACCTCGCCATTGCTTTCAACAGAAAAAAAAGACTGCTTCAGACCCTTACATAGCTCCTACTATTCCTCTCTTGCTAAAGCCCGCTTAATCTGAGAGACCAAAAATATCGACAAATCTAGTCACTCCCTCAAAATATACGCGATATTTATCATACACCACGGCTACAATATGAATATCTTCAGTTTCATTTCCTTTGTGGCTTTTCTAAGTAATCTATTACCCGCATTTGCTGAACAAAATTATAAGTGTGACAAATTGGTTCTTGATGGGAGGCACATACAAAACAGTCTTGACTATGCACATGGGTATCAAATGGCCAACAAGAATGAATACGATGAATACCATGATGATGAACTATTTGCTATTGGGACTTACAAGGCTCGCTACATAACCAAAAAAGGTTTGCAACCCCATTCTAAAATATTATTATTTGCTGCTAAAACTTATATCTAGTAAATATCCCTTTCGACATCACGGTAGGAGTCACAATTCATAAGGTTATTCTTTGGGTAAAGGCTACAGGTGGTGGCCGAAATATTGAATGTAAGCGAACAAATTCGCCGGCTGATCAGTACACAGAGGTCTTTCCATCTGGTTAGTGTAGATTCTAGAGACGCAAAATCAGATGATCCAAATAAGGTAGACTTGAGTGAAATAAAATAAGATAAAATCCAAAATTGGCTCAGAATCTGTGACAGCCGATGAGCCAATAAGCCCTTTAGCCAATAATGGCCAATGACATCTCATATGGATCCCATCAGTCTGGGAATTATTAGAAGAATGAGACTGCCACTGACGCTGCGTAAAAGATGGTGCCAAGAGGACTAGAAGCATCACCCAGGTGCGGGAAGAGTCTTAAGTTTATCTCTTCACCACGGTAAACGTTGACTGAATTTATTTACCTCTGGAAGTTAACAAGAAGCACGTTCGAATTGCTGGCTGTTTGCTTCCCCAGACATGAATCATAGCTAAACATTTCAATCATATGAATACCATATTCTCTCTGGACTAAAACAATGGGAGAATCGAAGTGAAATGAGCCACTTTTGCTGTGGAAAGGTAAGTGTCTGAAGTATAATTGTATTCGCATCTTATTGTAAGCTGTCTTGCAGATTGTGATTTACTGAAGGTGGCCTGGCAAACGTTTAACAGTCTTAACCTGTCATTTTTTCAAACCATCCTCAAAATTATACATAAAACCTGAAAGTAGCAAGCAGGGCCTCAAGTGACTAGAAGCCTATATATTTACGAGAGCAAGTCCTTGCTCACTCGTCTTCAGTCGCCCTTTGGAAAGCTCACTACGTCTCCTCCAAATAACTCGCGCGTCGGCGTCTATTTTAGTCCTGGCAGATTTTAATCTATGTAAGTGTTGGTAGGCAAATTCACTGGGTAACTTCTAGGGGTATGTCGTCAATAATTCTCGTTGTTCACTATTCTATCCTCCCTAATCCTAGGTAAATATTCCCATGGCTGCGTTTTAGGGTATGAGGGAAGAAGCGTCACAGGCATGATAAAATAAGGTATTTGGGGAAAACATAATGGGTTGTGGTAGTACCAAATAATGTGTACAAGTATTGCACCGAGAGTATGATGAGTCATCGGTAAACTAGCTAGCTGAATACGCAGTATATCCTACTGTTGGTATGACAGGGTCAATCTCTGTGATATCACAGGTAATGAGAATGGGTTTGCTAGTGCAAAAGTGGTGACTGATTGAGATGTATATGTATATGGATCTCTATGTAAGGACGCCCCTGAAGCGTTGATAAAACCTGAGTCCATTTGTGTGCCTAAGGCATGAATCCAAACCTCAGGCCTACCGGAGCAAGTGCTCCGGCACCTACAAGATATTTATTCGTCACGGGTATGAAGGGACTTCACCTTTGTTGTTCACAATTATGGGTCCAAAAATGAAATTATATTTTATCTAAAGAGGAGGGTATTTACGACGCGCGCGCAAGATGTTTTGTTCCAATCGAGCGCGTGTAAATCCCTGATAGATCTACAGGGCACGAATTAGCTAGATGTAGGAAACACGGCACACACACGTAATCGTAATTACCCTATGACCTCACGCACAACAAATCGCATTGTCACAGCCCGCGACCACAGCAGTAGATCTACTAGCGTTGAGGAGCAAGGAGTAATCAATGTATGTAGACACATAGACATCCGACACCTGAAGGATATAGAATTCACGTATTAGTCTCAAGCTCTACACAAGATCCGTTGTAGCTAGGAGCCACGAGACACCACGTGATACCCTTTCATTCTTACGCCCACTACACCATTTACTAAGTATACAGCAAAAAAAGTCTCTCATCTCACAGCATATTCTCATTTGTAGATTGTACTGTAAAGACCCTTCCGTTCTGGCTCCGATCAGAAACAACCACAAAAACATCAAACCCCCCCTTACCACCCTTCACAAGTCGCGTCAAAAACCGACAACTGTAGCCAAACCGACACCAGAATCAAGCCGCATCCCGCGCTCAGCGCGCGCGAGAGCAGCCCTCCCGACTATGGAGGGTCTTACCCAATCTCAGGCGGTAGAAGCCATTCCCTTCTATAATCCAGCTCTTAGCGATTGGGACACACCCGGGAGCAGCCAGCAGCTTGACATGGAGATCGATCCAATTAATTACGACGATCAAATCGAATACGACGACCCCATAGACGACCCATTTTCAGAGCCAGCTCCCGCGGGCCCAATGCAAGACACTCTGACCAAGAGCGTAAACTCTTTGACAGCCCGAGCAAAAGAAGCAGAGACCCTTTTTGGAGGTATTTCTGCACTAATCGACAAGCATAGCAGCGCACCCAACTACGCTACACTACCCGCCAAGCAAGCTGAAGCATTCAAAAGCCTTTGCAATGATTTAGCTAAAGTCGCAGCACGGCATTTCGATGCTTACCTCTGTGACAAGCCAGTGACCGTCACCATCGACGCCGCCACGTCCAACCGCAATGCCCCAAAAACTGCGCAGACCTACGCAAATGCAGCTTCAAGGGCGTCCAATAAGCAATTCGCCGGTCGCCACACTCCAACCCTCCAAACACCCGCTAAAGCGCGGCTTCAGCTCAAGCCCACCCGCACTGATGATCGTTTATTTGTCCGTATCCCGGAAGGTAATACACTCCGAGATCACTCAGCATACGCGATACAATCCCACCTGAAAGCTAAGCTTGGCAATGAGGGTCAGATTCTTACAAATGTGCAGTCAACAAAGACTGGTTTCGCTCTCTGCCCCAAAGACGGAGACTCAGAAAATCTCATGGAAAAGATAAAGTCCGTTAGTTTCTTCGGGGACGCACCAGTTGAGAAAGGAACACCATGGACTTCCTACCGCATAAAAAATGTTCCCCGGACATATGGAGCCCTGGAACACATCAATGAAGAATGGAAGTACTGCCTTAAGCCCGTCACAGCTGAGGCGTTGAAGGATGCCCTAGCCACGGCAGCTGGAGCGGTACCTGTAGCTATTGCGGCTTCTCGCGACAATGATGCTAATCCAACGTCCTCATCGACGACATGGATCGTGCGTTTCCCAGAATCACATCAGCGCCTGCCACGAACCCTCTTCCTCCTTGGCTACCGCACGCAGACAAGAATTCTGCCCAAGCGTCAGATGGCTGTCCAGTGCACCCGGTGCTGGCTCTGGCACAATACACGCACATGTGCCTCCGACCTCAGATGCCGCCTTTGCGGATCCTCCAGACACTCCGAAAAAGACCATGCCAATCAATGCGGCGCTACGGGCCAACACATATGTCCCAACAGATGTATCCACTGTCATGGGCCCCATCCCGCGGACGATGTCAGCTGTCACCTCCGGCCTAAGCCCTCCGGTCCTCCAAAGACCAAGAATCAAGTAACTGCTATCCGCCAGATTAACGCAGACGCTCGCCTACGGAAACAAGCAGAAGCTGGCTGTATCAAGGCTACGGCCAGCCCCAAAACCCCGCGTACTACGGCCGCAACTCCAGCTGAAATAGGCCAAACCCAGCCGGTTTCAGTAAAATCCATCAACCCCTACGAAGTTCTACTCACAGGGGATCAGAGCAACGACCAAGCGCAATCGTAATGACCCCTTTACGGCGCCGCAAACATAACAATTGCCCATTAAAAATAGTATCTGCAAATGTCGGCCGCGGTGCCCAAGCGCACGAGTTAGCTCTCAACGAAGCCAGCCTAGCCTCCGCTGATATTGTCCTAATACAAGAACCGTACATTTACAGCGACCGCGCCAGGCGGATCACCAAACGCCACCCATCCTTTGAGTCCTTCTCACCTATCGACGACTGGACATCTTCACGACCCAGGGTGATGTCCTATGTGCGGAAAAATGCCTGTCTCTGTTCAGAACAGGGTTATACGGCATTCTCAGGCGATATGCTTCTTCTTAAAATTATCTCGTCCTCTGGTAAGTCCATAAGCATTATCAACGTCTACAACGCTCCTGCAGGACCCACCAGCAATAGCGTTCTCGATTCTCTTTACTCTCTCACCCTCCCATTCGAAGGCAATCTGCTTATCTCTGGAGATTTCAACCTACACCACGCCAGATGGCAGCCATCATGGACCCGCAGCCCCTCCCCCGGCGCCGTAAAATTCACAGAATGGGCAGATAAAAATAGTCTCTCTCTTCTATCACCTGCAGATATGGCAACGCATGACCGAGGCAATGTACTCGATTTAGTTCTCGGATCCAGCCCTCTAGTTCAAAAGACAAAGTGCACCCTCGCTCCACACCTGGACACGACGTCAGACCATGCCACAATACTCACTTTAGTAGATTGGGAAGGCTATACTGAACCCCTCCGCAGGCTCAGATTCGACACGTTGGATAAGGATCTTTTCCTCCGTCTCCTATCCATCAATATTGATGGTATTAGTCCAATTCCACTAGCTTCCACCAGGGAGGCGCTGGACAGGTGTGCTATAGAGTTAACAGAAGCTATTCGTACAGCATACACGGGCGCAGCCCGCCGCTCACTAGGCCATGGTAAAGGGAACCCATGGTGGGATATATCATGCAAACAGGCTCGCCAAAGATACAAGAATGTCCGTTGCGGACCCATAACAGAGGAAGGTGTTGCCAGAGAGAGAAAGGAGTATCGGGGCACGATTGCAAGGGCAAAGAAGGCATACTTCACTAACAAGATTGCCGCAGCCAGTACGGGCAAGGACATCTTCGCTCTGACAAAATGGCATAAGTCCACGGGTAACTTCCGATCCACTCCCCTTAAAGATCCTAGGTCTCCAGACCGTCCTCCTGCAACATCGTTGCCAGAAAAAAGGGAAATTCTACTCGGTAATTTACTCACAAACCTGACTGTAGTGGATGATATCCCTTTGGATACCCCGACAGTTGCAAAACGCTCCATTTCGTTCCCACCACTCTGCCAGGACGAAGTTCAGGATTCGATTCTTAGAGCAGGAAATACAGCCCCTGGGGTTGACGAGATCCCGACTGCCATATTGCGTATAGCTTGGCCCCTCATCGGAGAACATATTTTCTCACTCTTCAAAAGCTGTCTCACTCTCGGTCACCATCCTGTCTGCTTCCGACAAGCTGTCTTAATCATGCTTCAGAAG